ATTTAATGTTTCTTTCCGTTCTGAGCCTCTTCTTTGCCGTATCATTCGGGACTCCATTCCTCTTCGATTCCTGCAAAAGCACCTCTCAATGTGTCAGAGGGGCTACTTGCACGAGATTCAGGGTTGAAGACAGAGAGGTAGAACCTCTCGAATGTACTGAAAGTTCGTTTTCTCTACTTCGTTTTTGTATTCCGAATGACAATGTTGAATGTCAACAATCTTCTGATTGCGGCGGAGGAGAAATGTGCTCAAAACAAATACAAGGCGGTGATCAAAAAGGGATTTGCTTGCTGCATGGGCGGCCGGTATTAACACAAGGATTGAGATTACCGAGTCTGGTGTGAAGCCGCCGACTGGTGAAGGCTTGGAGCTCTTGAAAGATTGATACACTGGTTACCCATGCAGGTCAAGAAGTGAATGTGCTGGTTCTCATGTTTGATATTCGATTCTATCAGAGTCGGACGACTCAAGGTGCTCCAATGAACGACATAACCATTTCTGTTTATGTACCCGACCCGAACTTGTCCCAAAGGAATGTACGGGGGATGATTGCGGCGACGGAGAAATGTGCGGGAACGAAGTGGACATCGACCAAAGGGTAGATAGAAGTATTTGCATTTCAAAAGCGATGGGGAACGACTGGCAGATCGAATTAACGGGATAACAAAGAACGAAGTGTGTGAAGAAGTGTGTGTGGCGGTGCAACATTTGTAAGGTTTTGTGGCATCTAGGTGCCATCTGGTTCCATTTCGGATAGCATCCCTTTCTTGTGCTATTTGGTTCTATTTCGGATAGCATCCCTTTCTGGATACTCCCTTTTACTTGTGACAGTTTTTAGAGTTCTCCCTTTTATGGCATCTTTGCCTTTGTCTCACGTTTAGCCAAGGCTTTGTAGTATCTGTTGTGCCAGCATTTAAGTTGACTCACTACTCACTAAACAGAGTCAGAGGACTACACTCTCGACTATCTTTTCTTCGTGCAGAAGCCAAAGTGATCACTTCGCAAGCAGGTTCGTCTACCTGACTGCACAAACTGTACTGTGCTTCCACCATGGCTGAGAGCCGGCAAGGTGAACAGCACTTGTTTACTCCAATCTCGCACCCTGAGGGCCGTCAGCTTGGTCAGAAGCACATTCATGTCTTCCTTCGTGAGGGAGAGATCTACTTTCTACGAATCAAAGATGCTGTTAATAGTGGTGGAAATATACATAGAACCCAAAAGCCTCAAGGCTTCGGTGGACTCTGATTTACTCAAATCGCTCATCGAGCTTGACGAATTTGGACCTGAAGTTACTAATTTGGACGAGCTCACCAACGAAATCCTTCTAAGTTGGCTAGAGAATCGGCAAAGGAATACTTTCCAAAGCTTGACTTTGGAGCAGTTGGAGCACATAGTTGTGTCACATGTACGTATCAATTTGAACGAACCTGACGCACAGCTAAGGGTAATCCGTCTTTTCGCTGATTACAAAACGCTGCTACGTTCCCGCAAGTGGGATAAGTTAATAGAAGAAAACCCGAAGGTGGCTATATCACACCTGGTCCAATTGCTAAAACCGGAGCCTTTGCGCGTCAAGATCGAGAATAATCTTCAGCTATCAAAAAGGGAACTACGAAAAGACTGGAAAGGTTTCTACAAGTATGTCGCCCAACAAGCTGTCTTTGGCGAATCTTTTGTGCCTGCCCGCCGTTCTACTTCTGCGGGAAAATCATCTACAATTGATCGCCTCAATCCGCGTACGAACCACTATAGCACGTCGAAGTCCGGACCTTCCAAGTCCCCTGGAGCTGAATCCACACCGAAAACTGGATTGTTTCCAAACACAGTACCCTCTCTTCGTTTCCCAAAATCTTCTTCCCAACTTTCCACAAATAGGCAGAATCGCTCTGCTGCCACTGCCCCTGGTAATGCCATGGAACTCCCTCGATGTCTTAACGTCTTTGTGTGTAATGAATGTAGTACAACGGCGCGAAGGCAACGGCACCACCGCTGCCGCCCCGGGATACAGTACGATGGGCTGTTACCGCGAGAAGAACTGTAAGGAGTTATATTTACAGCACACGGCTGGTGCGGAGTACAGTAGTACCCCGCTGGTTACACGTGTAGGATCCGAACGGTAAGTAATTAGTAATTAGTAGTTAATGGCACAAATTAGCCAATTTTGCACAGTAGCTGGTATACAGTAAGTAACAGCTACTGTAGCGGGACAGGTGTCCTGGCGTCCCACTTAGGGGTTAAGACCGGGGGCACGTGCCCCGTTCCAGTAAACGAGAGGCAGACTCGCCTCCCTTCTCTTTACGGCTTTTTGCTAACTCCGTCCGGTTTTACCTCTAAGTCTCAGGCTTCTAACCCGTGACCGGCCGTCCGGATCTAACACCACCGACCGGCTGCGCGTCACTGGCCACGTTAGCCTTCTCTCTTTTCGAGTCCTTCCGTACGGTTTGCGCTGGCGTGGGCTACCCAGAGGCGCGCGCTCCCTTACCTCTAACCCCCCTCGTTCCGAGTGGTCGGGACGAAGGTAGTTATATATAACTGGTATACCACAATGAACATCATTTCGTGCAGAACTGTCCCAAGACCAGTACGGACGAAGCAAAACATTTGCTCAAAGCATTTCACGAAACCGTGCTACACGCCCAATAAGAGCGCTCTGTGTCTCACGAGTCTCTCCGGCACCAGTTTCGGCTGGAAATGGGCGATACCCAGCAACTTTATCTGACTCTGTGCCTATCGTTATTAATGGTGACTACGGGGCTGACCACTCTGCTTTATCCAATGATCATTTAGAACGATGTGCTGCAGAAGGAATCTTTGTTCAAGTCTTGCCCCTAAAAGAACCGATTCCAATGCAGTTGGCTCTAGATGAAGGTACAGAAGCGGAACCACGCACATTCTATGCTAAGGCAAAAGCTCGGATGTCTACCACCATTCAGCTGGCCTCGGGCCCACTTCGTCTCCGAAACTTGGAGTACCTTGTTTTTGACGAGCATATGTATGAAGTCATCCTGGCCCGGCCTGTCCTGCAAACCATCGGCTTTGATTTAGACAAGCATCTTTCGGCTGTTAGATCGCAGTTCCATGACACGGACTTCTCACACGTCGGGTTTTCGCCGGGCGTCTACGATACCTCTACAGTTGAACCTCTCACCACTCCTGGCCATCTCTCTCGATTGCTATTCTCGAACTCCCTCAATCCCCCTCACACTGTAGGCTCCGATTCAATGTCCGAACCTGGATTTTTACTGTGACTACACGGTACAGGATGATTTAACGGACGACGAAGACGAAGTTCGTACAGGGGTGCATGTGGACACCGAAGTGCAACTTGACCTCCAGGATATGCTTTCCGCAGCCAAATCCGCCGGACTAACTGACTCACTCCACGTCGGTCTACGTGAGCTTGTTCTACAGTACCGCGATATTTTCCGCAACAAAATGGGATCGGATCCGCCTGCCAATGGCTTGAGGCGAATAACCATTGGCGGTACATGAAGTAC